GGGCCAGGCCGAGGCGCCGGGCGGGTGGCCGGCGGCGGCGCGGGAGGCCTGCCTGCGGGCGGCCGAGCGGCTGGGCGACTGGGCGTGGGAGCGGCTGCAGGAGGGCCCGTGGCACCGGGTGGGCCGCGCCTGGCGCCGCCTCTTCGCCCACGCCTGCCTGCTGCGGGCGCTCTGCCTGTGCCGGGCGCGGGGGCCCTGCGCCGAAGCCCTGCGCGCCTGCGACCTGGGGCTGCTGCTGGGCACGCCCGGCCCCGAGCTGGCCCGCCTGGCCGCGCTGCTGCAGCGCCTGCTGCCCGCCCCGGAGGGCCCGCCCGGCAAGGTAGGACGGCGGGAGGGGAGGGGGCCGCGGGGGAGGGGAGTCGCCCTCTGACCCCTTCCCTCCCCCGCAGAAGCCGCGCTCGGAACGCCCCCCGGCCCGGGCGGAGGAGGCGGCGGCGGCGGCGCGGGTGCCGGTGTCCCGGGTGCGGCGCCCGTCCCTGCAGCGCTTCCGCGAGCGCTTCCTGCTGCCCGGGGCGCCGCTGGTGCTGGAGGGCGTCGTGGACCACTGGCCCTGCCTGCGTAAGTGGAGGTGAGGCTCCCTCCGCCTCCCGCCCAGCCCGGACCCGGCGGCCTCCCGAAGGCGATCGATCCGTGGCGGGGGAAGAGCCGCCGCGGGGCTGAAGGAACCGGCGGGCGGAGTCTGGCGCTCAGGCTTGGCCTTCTCCTCTGCCCGCAGCGTGGATTACCTGCTTCAGTTGGCCGGCAACCGCACCGTCCCGGTGGAGCTGGGCGCTCGCTACACCGACCAGGATTGGTCCCAGAACCTCATGACGGTCGCGGAGTTCGTCGGCCGCTTCGTCAAGCAGGAGGTCCGAGCTCTTCCTTCATCGAAGCCCCCGACGGACTGACTGGGGGCGCCTCCTCTCCGGCCAAAAGCAGCGGGGCTCCCTTGCAGGACGTGGAGACCCAGCGAGCGCCCCTCTTCGGGGAAAGGGGGGGAGGGCAGGGCCTGCGCTCTGGGTCAGCCTTTACAGGGGCAAATGGGGAGGGGGGGCGGTTTTGCCTCCTTTGCTGCTCTGCTGACTCTCTTCTGCCCTTTCCTTTCCATGCCAGAATCCCAATGGATACCTTGCTCAGCACCAGCTTTTTGAACAGGTAAATGCAGAAATTACTGTGCATCCCAGGAAACGGATGTGTGTGTCTCTTTGCCCTGAATCAAGCCCCAAAGTGTGTTCTCAGGGGCAAAAGGACTTGTGCCCCCTCCAGTTGCCCTTCACGCAGAGAGATCTCTCAAGGAAAAAAAGTTATCAGAAGCCTAATCCTCCCCCACCCCCAATTTATTTATTTATGCGAAATTCTATGGCTGCCCACCTGAGTCTCAGTGACTCTGGGCCGTTTACAACAAGGGTGAAAGCCCAATGCAAAAACCATAAACTGTCACTCTCTTGGCATAACAATCAGATAAGCCGCTTGATGGGCTCCATCTCACTTGGGGCCCCTGGCCGCCTAAGCATTTTAATGGGAAGGTACCTACAGATCATGTTCTCTCTTGACTTTTACTTCTGATGGGATATCACCAGATCCCAGAGCTGAAGGAAGACATTGGCATCCCGGACTATTGTTGCCTGGGCAAAAATGATGAAGAGGAGATCACCATCAATGCCTGGTTTGGCCCATCAGGGACCATCTCACCTCTTCACCAGGATCCACAACAAAATTTCTTGGTCCAGGTTTGTTTACATCCTCCAGAAGTTTTTTCCAGGGCAGAAACAATGCCGACCCCCTGTCGTTCTTCACATATTTCAGCTTGCTCTGGACCATCATCTTAATCCAACTTCTGGCATCACCACTGTTTCAATTGGACCAAATTATTGATGGGGCACTAGAGCTATTCGCTGGGCGTTCCAAGTGCCTTCCTAGCAGGCTGCTAACTTCACCCTGTGAATTAGTAGAAGAAGGGGATACTGCCTGTGGCTTACTAACTCTCAGGGCACGAAGAAACCGTGCCATCTCTGCATGGGCCTAGCCTGGAACATCTGAAAGATAAGGGCAGGTAGATGATGGAAGTACTTCTCCCCATCATGACAGGCAATTAACTTTTCATGTTCCCATTTTCAGGTGATGGGACGCAAATATATCCGTCTGTTCTCTCCTGACCAGTCTGAAAAACTGTATCCACACGAAGGCCACCTTCTTCACAACACCAGCCAGGTGGGCGACACCTGCGACTCATGAAACAATGGCTGCTATTTGCTCACTGCCACTATTTGCCCACTGCAATTTTTAAAGCTGGCTGCCCAAAAAGGCTTGCCACAGGCATGTTGGGACAAAGCCATTTCTTCCCCATCTTCCGAGGACGCAGGGATGGTACTTTTGAGCTTCTTGAAGTGTTTAGTCTCAAAAGGGCATTTCTTTTGCAGGTTGATGTGGAAGACCCTGACTTCGTGAAGTTTCCTAAGTTCAAGGAAGCAGCATTTCAAGACTGTATCTTGAGCCCTGGAGAGGTCCTATTTATCCCGGCCAGTTACTGGCATTATGTTCGAGCCCTGGACACCAGCTTCTCCGTTAGCTTCTGGTGGTCCTAGTTTATGCTGAGAACAGAACAGCCACATCCAGAGGAGCCAAGAATAGGTACAGGTACAGAATGATCCAAGAAAAGCACACCCACCCAAAGATGCAGTAAGCAGAATAATCCTGTCTTCTAGATCCTGCTACTTCCACATGCACTAGAATAACATACTTTGCGATATTCAGTCCCAAGTTTATTTTGTCAGTAGAAAACACCTCACTCGCAGCTACCAACATTAAGGCTTAAGCAAATCATCCTGCAGAGTCCCAAAGTGCTCCATAGGCAGCAAACAAGCTCTTGGGTGAAGTATTAAAATTCCCTAATGGATCTACCACCCACTCAAGTCCCACCAGCTCAGGGGGGGGAGTAATGCCAACAGCAAAATGTCTTTAGGGAGAGAAGAGGCAGGGATGGCCCACTGGGTGAGTGGAGTAAGTGCTCAGACATGTCCTGTTGCGCCAAGTGAGATATAACCCCGTCTACAGCGATGATTCCCCTTATAAAGGAGAAATGTTGAGGACAGTGCTCCATAGGCAGCAAACAAGTGGCAGGCCAACTGCCCAACCACAATCAAAGCAAAAAGGAAGGCAAAATGGCTGCCCTTGCAGTTTTTAGCTTTTAACCCCTGCACAGCCCCACTTTGTCCAGGTGCGCCCAGAGAAAGAACCTGCTCCTCCGTGTCGTCCGAGAGGTCAGAGGCTGTTGGTGCTGCTGCTATTGCTGGTGCCTGGAGCCTGTCCTGGAGGCTTTCCTGCTCTCTCTCCTGGCGCTCGAGGGCAACTGGCTGGGAGGATGGAGGTCTGCATTGCAAAGGAGAAAGGAGGAGGATGAGCTGAAGGAGGAAGGGGAGCCAGAATGGTGTTGGCTCACATCCCAGAGCCAGCACTTTTATGGTGAAGGCAGAACACCCCGACTCACGCAAAGGCTTTGGCTCTGATACTGTTTTCATTTGGTCCTCCCCTCTATTTGAACGAGGCTGCATTTTCCAGCACAAAGCGATGCCTCGCAATCTTACAAAATGAAAGAAAGGCCAAGTCGCCCTTATTGATGAGGTACTGTGGTCAGGTTGCCCTCGCCTCCCTGGGAAAAGCAGATATTCCACAGACAGACATGCCACCCTCGGGTTTTTACCTGGAATTTGGTGAGGCCAAAACTGCTTGCAGTGAGGGCAACGGGGCTCTGGTTGTGCTTGGAAGTACTTGGAAAGGCAAGAGCAATGGAGCACAATTCCACAGTCCTCACACACTTGACTCTGAAATGGAAGCAATCGCGTTGAGTCACACGTACAGATCAAGGAGATACCAGGCCTCTTGCCTCTTCAGGAACTTCAGAGGTTTTGATGGGTTGGGTCGAAATGTTGCTGCCAGAATGTTTGAAGGCCCTCGTCGTCTCCCTCCAAGGGAAGCAAGGGGGGAAGCAGCTTTCCATAAACCCACTTGACTGGGCTTGTCCTCTATTCTATCACCACCAGCTGCTCTAGAGGAGTCCAGGAAATGCATTTGGTGGTTTGTAATTGTTTTTAGCCTTGTGTGTTTGAGTGATGTGGCTCAGGCCTCCAGAACAGAATCTTGCACCCTCCCTACAAAAAACGGCCCAGCCACTGCCGGGGACCCTCCAGCCTTCGCTGTGCTGGGAGCCCTGCTTCCAAAGAGGCCAAACCCCTTGAGCAAGGAGGTGTCCTTTTCTGCCTTAAGTCCAAGGAAAACTTGCTAAATGGGCAGGAATTCAGCCAAGAGGCTGACCAGCTTCACGGGGAGGGTTTGGGAGGCTTTTCGAACTTTGGCCCATCACCTGCTTAACAGTTGGGAACTGCAGGGCAGCAACTGCTAAATTAGTCTGTGGTAGCCAAACATCAGGAGTCTGGTAGCTCATTTTTTTACTAACGGATTTTATTACAAAGTAGGACTGAGCTGCAGCTGATGTTAGTTCACCATTAATTACCATACTATTACTGATTTTTTTTTTACAGGTGATCCATGTCTTGCATCTGCCATAAGATGGGCTGGTAGTTACCTGAACAGAAAGGCTGTGGCAGATGTGGCATTTCCGGGCAGACTCCGGGTAATGGCGGAAGATGTACTGTTCCAGTTCAAGGATGCTGCGGATGTGCAGGGTGTACTCCCCTTCTTTCTGTAAAACACATCAACAAACTGTCAATCATCCTTGGCGCCCATCAGCCCCTCCTCTCTCCTGTGCAGGAGGTGGTGTGATGTGCTCATCGTCTCTGAGGCTTTAGCCCACCTCACACAGCCACTTCTTCTGCACCAGCTGTTGAAGCACTTGCTCCACCTCCATTTTCTTCATTTTCTTTGGCTTCAACTGGTCAGCCAAGTTCAAGATCTCGGTGGACGATGCAAAGCCGTTCCCGGACATCAGGATCAGATCCAGCTGTAAAAATAAAGGACCGAACGTTACTTCTGCCGAAACTCTTTCCCCGGACAGACACAGGGTGCCACATCTTAGGCACACACACACACACACACACACACACACACAGAGAGAGAGTTTCCAATCAGGGATGGTGTGACTTGATGTTTGCCCCAACAGGACCCAAGAGGCAGAACGCATGTAGGAACTATTAGACTGTCATCCACTAGAACTTAATAAATGTGGTTTTCCTGGAATAGATAAACATGGCTACAGCCCTGGAGAGATTTGTATTGTATTTTTGTTTTTAACTCTACAGACCATTTTACACATCACACACGGGCCAAAAAAGAAGAGAATAAATAGCTGTAACCTAAAATTAGTGACATGCTTCAAGAAAAAGCTTGGACAACAGAATGCAGGTCTACATCCTGCGGAAGCACCTCTGCTGCATCAGTCCGTTCCAGGAAAGTGTTCGTGACTGGCCATCTCATTGGGATCATTCCAACAAAAGAGAATCTCTCTAGCTCAGAGTAACTCTGGGTCCTTGATGCTCTTTGAGATGGATTGCTTGCAGACGTTTCCTTACCCGACTAGGAAACCTCATCAGTGCAATCTACCACCTCTCCTTCCATCCCCCTACCACCACAACTGATGAAGCTTCTTGGACGAGAAGCAAAACATTTTCCTCAAGGAAAAAACAGTCCAGTTGCATTTTTGAAAAAGCACCTTTGAGACAACTATGACCTGGATCAATGGTTGCCAACCAGTGGGCCAGGGACCACTGGTGGTCCGTGAGAAAATTTTGGTGGTTGGCAGAGAAACATCATCCCCACACCTCCTCAAAGCAATTAATCCAGGCTGCGCGGGAACACAAGGCTTGCGTCACTTGCATTGTGAACAACACAAGGTAGTGAGGAGAGGGGGGAAAGGATGGAGGGGGGAACTTGCCCCACAGGCCCCATGTGCCTCACCTGGCCACCGGGCTGCTTCTTTCCGCTTCTTTCTTCAGCTTTTGTGCAAGGAAAGCAGCAAAAGTCTTTCTTTCTCTCCCCCAAACTCCTCCAGAAATGAGTCTTTGGGACCCTGCAAGGCCTCCTGCTCCAAGAGGCTGCGCCAGCAAAGACTCATTTCTGGCAGAGTTTGGGGGAGACAGAAAGACTGCTGCTGCTTCTGCTGCTTTCCTTGCATGAAGCCAAAAGTCAGTCTCTCTCTCCCTCCCTCCCTCCCCACCCCACCCACCCCCCAGAATGGAGCTGGAGACAGTATCCTGCGATTCCCAAATAAAGAATATTCGATTGGTAGGAAAATGAGGTGGGAATTTTCCTGCAGACTTTTGGGGGGATTTTCCCAGGGTGTCTAGTCTGCAGAATTTAAAATTATGAGTTTGGTGATATCTGAGGTCCAAAAGGTTGGCGACCCCTGACCTAGGTGACTGAGAATCTGCGTAGACAGCATCAGTGCAACCAAGAACCAAGCTCAGAGACCACCCAGGAGCCCTCATAAGGATTATTTAGAACATACTCAGGCTACTTCACAGCACAAATTACTAGAGATCCAGGAGTTGCTAAAACTTAACAAGGCAGTAATCGTTCCTCTACTTGCTCTCCCAAAGAATTCTCATTAGCAGAATTAATGGAGAGGAAGCAAACAGCACATCCTGGTTGGGGGGGCTTCTATCCAGACTATTTCATAAAATCCATCCCATGAACAGTCACATAGTGAGGGGTTTAAGTCCGGCCCCAGGGTAAACTCAATAAAATGTAACCATTCAACAAATGGGGTTACTGTGGTGTCCAGAATTTACCTACTAACTTATCTTAGCAGAATCCCTCTACTTTCATCAGTAGCTCCAATTCAAATCAACCACTGTTTCATGCTCAAAGTGCCACAAATTATATGTTTCTACTGCCTCTGCCATGAACCGATGCTGACCACCCTCGCCTGGCAGATGGAGCAGGACAGGAGTCCTCACAAGGACATGGCGAAGATCCCGGTTGCCTTTCTCTGTTGCATGTCAAACCAAGCTCTGGAGGCTATATTGCCCAGAGTTGGGAAGAGGCCCAATTTGTATCAATTTGCTGGACAGACTGCGGCAAGGTGAGCCCCAGAGGAGCGCTCTGCAATAGCAGTAGCACTTATATACCGCCTTCACAGTGCTTTCCAGCCCTCTAAGCAGTTTACAGAGTCAGCCTCTTGCCCCCAACAATCTGGGTCCTCGTTTG